GAGCTCAGTGATTGGTTAGATTGGCTGGCCGGTGAGCTCCATCTACCTGCCTTTGCCCCACCTTCCCTGCCCCCTAGTGCTGGGATTATGGACATATGCTACAGAGTCTGCCTTTTGGTATGAGTGCTGGAGGATCTGAATTCAGGTCCTCATGCTTGTACAGCCAGCACTTTACTGACTGAACCATGTCTCCAGCCTTTAGTGAGGCCCCTGGGATACACTGAAAAGCTTCTAAACATCTTAAAAATAGTTGTTGGTAGATTTTGAGAGAGGTCTGTCTAGAACACAGCTAAAATGAGACTTTTGTCAAGTTGCAAAAGCCATCATCTGGTACATAAAACATCCCCAGAGATTTTGAGGGACTTGTAGTAGCAAAAAGACCACTAAATTTGAATTGATGTTACTCAAAGTGCAAACATGATTAGATAATTGCCCATCTTTCCAAAGATGGAAAAGATGGGCTCCTTCTTATGAGAAAGGAAAAGTGTTGTTGATAGTAGAGCCAAGAGACCCAGAGAACAGTGGGAGACACACACATCCAGGAAGCAGTACAAAATAATGACAGGTTCTTCCTCAAGGCTGAACTGATTCCTAACCAAGCAATATGAGCTTCTTAGGATTAAATTAAAAAATATTTTGTGTGTATGGGTGTTTTGTCTGCTTGTATGAATGTACACTAGGCATGTGCCTGGTGCCCTGCAGAGTGCAGAAGAGGGCACCAGATCCCCTGGAACTGGAGTTACAGACAGTTGTGAACTGCCATGTGGGTGCTGGGAATTGAACCTGGGTCCTCCAGAAGACCAGTGAGTGCTTTTAACCACTGAGCCATGTCTCTAGACTGCTCCACAGTATTTTAGAATTTCATGGAGCCTTGACTGTCCTGGGCCTCTTATAAGGTCTTTCTCTATTGAATGGGAGAGTGTATTTATCTGGTTCTTGTCTCACTAGACTCCATTGTGTAAGTTAATGAAACTTGTTTATTGTTATTGTCATTTCTTTGAGACAGAGTCTCACATAGTCCAGGTTGGCCTCAAACTTGCTAAGTAGCCAAGCATGACACTGAACTTCTGATTCTCCTGCCTCTACCTCCCTAGTTCTGGTATTACAGGCATACACTACTATGCTTGGTTCATGCAATGCTGGAGGTCAAATCCAGGACTTCCTGTATGCCAACCAAACTCTCAGCCTGCATTTTCAGCCCCAAAGTTGTTTTTGGTTTCCAGGTTGCTGTGTCAAGAAAATCCATATTCCAAAACAGGACCCTGGACTTCAAGCATGGTGATAGATTTGGGTGGGATGCTTGGATTCCTTGAATGGGGATAAACATGGTTTGCTTTTTTTTTTTTTTAAAGAAGTGTTAATAACTTGATTGAAAAAATACCCCCTCCCCCAAGTCCTCCTATTTATGCCTCTTAGGTGACTTTGTAGCTTTTCTCCCCAGAGCCAGAGCTGTTCCTCTGCTCATAGACTTAAAGTTTGGCCACCTGAATGACTTTGGTCATGGGACATCAGTAAGCAGAGTACAAGCAAGGACTAGAGTGCTTGCCTGTGAGGGATTACATGTCTTGCTGTGCTGGAATCCAGCTGCCTTGTGAAGAAACTCAAGCTAGCATACTGGAGGATGAGGTAACTCAGGAGCTGAGATGAGCTGGTACACTAAGAGACCTGAACACCAGCCTTCCTGAAGCCCATTGGGCAGCAGATTAAAGAGGGAGTCCATCTGAGATCAATTGACGAGCAAGTCACGTATCACCGTACAAATGGATGATACTCAGAACCAAGAACTAAGTGAATCAGTGGTTCTCAACCTAATGATGTGACCTTTAATACAGTTCCTTGTGTTGTGGTGACCCCCAACCATAAAATTATTTTGTTGCTACTTCATAACTGTAATTTTGCTACCATTAAGAACTGTAATGTAAATATCTGATATATGACCCCCACAGGGGCCATGACCCACCCACAGGTTGAGAACTGCTTAAGGAAATGCTTAGTGGTTTAAGGTACTTGGTTTGGGGGTGGTTTGTTATGCAGCAAAACTTATCTGATACACCCTTTCAGTCCTCGCTTTTCTCAGACTCTTAGTCATCTTTTGCTAAACCTCCCCAGAGTAGTCTCTGATTCATGGAATAAAGCCCAATACTCACCTCAAAATGGGTCCAGCAGGTAGCCTGGCACCCAAAATGTGAGACCACACAGGTGATGATGAATTCCAGCAGGGCAAAGGGGAGGAGACCCCCAATGATTGCCTTCAAACAACCCTAGGGGCAGGGAGGAAATGGGGGCATTTCAGGCTTCATGGTTGACTGGATGGCAGTCTGTATTTGCAGCTCTCCTAAAGGAAATGCCATATGCCTCATCTGGAATCCTGGAGAAGCCTCTGTGTGTGGTGTCTTGGCATAGATGCTGCCTTTACATTGTATTTTCAGTACACCTCAACTCCCACCTGTTAGACACTGCATTCCTTTATTGTGACTTTTATGGCTTCAGAAGCCCATGTTACTGTTTATACCAAAAGCCTGAAGCTCAAACAACCCTCTGCAGAGCAGTTTTCCATTGATGGCTAGTAGGGTTGGTGATTCTCTGGCCTGAGGTCATGCTTACTTCCTCTCTCTACTAAAGCTACTTGTCTTAAAGTTTGCTTCTGAAATTACCTCTACCTGTGATGTACCTAACAAGTACCATGGCTGTGAACCCATATGAGGGGCTGGGGTCCTTACTGTGAGTTGGTGATGTACCAGTGAGGCCAGGACCGTCAGCTCTGCTTGGCTTCTGGATGTCTTAGTTCAGTCTCTGGTCTTGCCTGAATCAGAGCTTTGAAAGCAGGACTGAGCTCAGTGTGCTTCCTGCTGTAGCCCTACCCATAGTGTATTGTGGAGGCAGGGTTCTAGGAGTACTTGTCCTCCTCACTCTTCCCCTTCAGCAGAAGATGGGACCCCAGGGTTTGGTCTCTATTGGAATTCTAAATTTCTGTTCTACAGGAGCACAATCTACTTCTTTGTCAGTTCATCCTGTTGCCTAGGGCTGGACTCCAGATGCCAACCAGCTTGCATGGTTTCCCGCCCATGCCCTGTCAAGTTGGACTGGGCTTCTTCTGGGACCTCCTACAGGGAAGCTCTCCTTTTGAGGACTGTGCTCACCACTATAGATGGTTCTCTTGCTCTGTCAGTTTTCCTTGGTCTGCTTGATTAATCCTGAAGGAGGACCAGGTTGCAGCTTGAGACAAGCAACCATATATCCACCCGAGACAATTTGCCTCTTAATCTCAAAGAGTCCTCATTGTGGTGTGAGGAACACTGTGGTTGTCTTAGCAGTTGCAGGGCTTTGGAGGAGATTATGCAATTTATGGATCATATTAGTTTGGAATTCTGTTGCAATTCCTTCCTACTCAATAAACAGCCGTGCGAACTTTCCTGATCCTAAAGAAGCTTTGGGACGAGTCAGTTGTAATGCTCACCGTCAGCGAAGAAAAATTAGAGTTGAAAATAACCAGATCTATAATGATAAGGATGATACCAACAAGGGAGAAGATGGAACTGACGATATTCATGCCGATGCTGGCGTTCACCTGAAGGACATAAAGGAAGGGAATGGTGAGCAAAGGTCAAAGCTCAGCATTTGGGAAGACTCTGGACATAGGACAAAAGAGGAGCAGGGCAGAAAGGAGAGGGTCAGGATGGTTGGGGGCAGAAATCTGTTAGTTTACCCCAGGGCAGTGAGATAATGATTGTTCATGCTGTGTTTCTTCAGGACAGGAACCACCCATTGGTGTAAACAGAAGTTTCTTTCTGTCCCAGTCAACAGCCGTTTACTCCCAAACAAGCACACAAAGACTTATATTAATTATAAACTGTTTGGCCAATGGCTCAGGCTTCTTAGTGACTATCTCTCTCTTAATTATTAACCCATTTCTATTAATCTGTGTATCTCCATGTGCTCTTGGCTTACTGGTGATGCCTGGATCTCTTGCTTCCTTGGCAGCTACATGGTGTCTCATTGACTCTGCCTACATGCTAGTTTTTATACACATCTTTTCCAGGTAGGTAGAAGTATTCCTCACCTAGACTAAAACTGCTCAAATAGTAGCTAAAAAGCTCCCCTAGGAACTGGTCCTCCAATTTGGCTTCTCTCTAGCAATGAGGTCTGAAAATGGCCTGACTTTCTTTACCAAAATCTCTTAATTAATACCTAAAGCTTTAGGCACAGTTTGGAAATGTCATTGGGCCTATAAACCCCATAATTCTGGGCAGGACATTAAATGAATGAACAGGACATTAAAAAAACAACCGAAACCCTAACCAAACCCTCATTATAGTCCATTGAGGGGTATATAGACCTATTTCCTTGGTTTTGTTTTGGGTTTTGGGCTCACTGCACCACATATGGGGAGGGATTCACCCCCTATGAGACTATGTTTGGAAGACTTTCCCAACTGCTTCCCCAGCTCAGAGAACAGCAGTTGGAAGAACTCTCTAATCATTCCTTTCTCAAGTCACTACAGGGCTTCCAGTCATTCATAAAGGCTATTCATTGTACTATCTGAGAGATCCAGCTGACCTCCAAGTCCACCAACACCTTCCCCTTTTCAAGCCCAGTGATACTGTCTGGGTCAAACAGACAGCCAAAGGGGTGCTGGAACCAGCTTAGAAAGACCCTACACACTTATTCTTTTCACTTCTATGGCCATGGAGGTAACTGACATTATACTAGGAATCCACCACACCCAGGTCAAAAAAGCAGAAGCCACTAATGATGATGTCAAATGGACTATCTTCAGAGAATAGACCCTTCAAAATTAGGGTTTCATTGGGCCCTGGTCCTTGCACTCTCTGCCTCTTTGCCTTCTCCTAAGTCTTGTGTATATCAGTACAGGGTCATGGCCCAAACCCCACCACCCTTCGGCCCAGACCTGGGAACCAAGGAGAAAGACAGACATAGGAGAGGTGATAGCTAGAGTGACTACAAATCAGCAACTCATATTCCATCTTGACCATTGCTCACTGATGCTCTCTTTAAGTGTCTGATTGTATTGGAGAAAGATGTGGGGATTTATCTTTTGAGATAGGAATGGAGAGTTTACAGTTCTATGCATGTTCTGAGGCCAGGCTCCCTAGTTGCCAAGAACAGGGAGTTTCCATCGTAAAAACTGAGGTTGTGAAACAGACTGGATTAATAGTGGGGCCCTGCACTTTAAATTTCATGGCCAATTATGTAAAATAAAGGATTAATTTAGTCAAATTAATGGTCCTTAGGGCCAACTATACCTCTTTAAGACTCAAGGGTCATCAAAGAAATGACGTCATGACTTACCATGCAACTGCTGGCAGACTTTTCAGCCGAAATTGAGAGGGACCCAGAGATGATAAACTACATAGACATAAAAAAGAATGTCTCTTTAAATTCCAAACGTCTTGTTTCCCATGCATGTATATCTGTGAGCTTCTTGACATTATCACTGTCCCAAACTTTAGGTACTCAGTATTGTGGCACTCAATTTGGGAAGGTCATGTAAGATGCCCTAAGTCATTCATTATCATCATTGTCTCACTAGGTCTCCTCAAGTGCATGGTGGGCCACACCATTGTCCAAACTAATTTACTGCTGACATTGTCCTGTCTTTGAATATGATTTTATTCTGGAAGTTAGGGGCAGTGTTGCATAGTAGTCATTGTCCTGAGGTTGGGAAAGAGGACAATGAGGCTCCTGTTTCATATCTTCTACTAATTCATCTTGTTGTGCTCCTAGACCAGCCTAAGAGACCTAACAAGGCCCCTGTTTTCACACAGTTGATCAGTTCTGTGAATTACTGTTGAAGCTCTTTCCCTCTCATCTGTAAAAATGACTTTTGCAGTAACAACAGTTGCTACTCACATTATTTTGTACTATTGAGGATAGAGCCCAGGGCCTTGGATGTGCTCGGCAAATAACTTTACCACTGGCCACATCCCAGTCCTACATTGTCTTCTTTAGGGATCACTGAGATGAAACACTTCTAAATGCCAAAGTGTACTACTACCCTTGTACAGAAGGGACAACTGAATTCAATGGTCTGAAATCTTAAAAAAAAAAAGGGTCCCTGTAGATCATTGAGTTTGGGGAACTGAATCCTAACACTTAGCTGAAATCCAAGAACTCAGGAGGGGCCACAAAACCAGTGTGATAGGACAAGAGAATGAAGTAAAACTGTTATATGCTCTAACAGTGTCTTTGCTAGTAGATGACATGAGACGCTACACAGAAATTCCAGCAGATCTGAAAGTCACTAGAATTAATAAGAAAGTACAGTTAGCCAGGCATTGGTGGTGCACGCCTTTAATCCCAGCACTCGGGAGGCAGAGGCAGGCGGGTCTCTGTGAGGTCAACGCCAGCCTGGGCTACGGAGTGAGTGCCAGGATAGGCTCCAAAGCTACACAGAGAAACCCTGTCTCAAAAAACAAAAAACAAAACAACAACAAAAAAGAACATCAAAACAAGCAAGCAAACAAACAAAAAAGACAAAAAATGCTTAAAGGAAACACAAAGGCTCCCACCAAAAAAGAAAAAAAAGAGAGAGAGAGAGAGAAAGTATAGTTATTTCACCAGATAGAAGATCAAGGTGCAGATGTCAATTGTTCAGCTGGGGTGGTGGTGCCAAGGCAGGCCAATCTCTGTTAGTTCATGGCCAGCCTGGTTTATAGTGAATTGCATGTTAGCCAGGGCCTGCTAACTAGTGAGACCCTGTCTTAAAAAAAAAAAGTCAACTGCATAGTCATAAACCACCAACAAACAGTTTGAGGATGTGCTTCAAAAACATATTCATACAAGCAAGGAAAAATGATTAGGGAATAATCCAAAACAACATACAAATTAAAAAATATCACATTGATTCATGTGTGTATATGTGTGGGTGTCAATAGCTCAGGAAGCTCAGAAAAACACAAGGTTTGAAAAGCTTAGCAGGAAACAATTGCAGGGGTGGGGTTGAAGGGGAGGG